GAGCCATCTCTCCAGCCCAGAATCACACTTTAAAACTTCTATGGAAATGCCAAGAACATATTGCATCCAACTTCAGTCAGTTGGACATCATCTTACCTGTGTGAAAAGTATGAACTGAGCAAACTGCCAGGGAAGCATGAAGGCAACATTGGCGAGACAGAGGGCGACATAGGGTCTTCTGTAACTGGTGGAGGTCCTTAGCGGTGAGAAGTGGGGTCAGTAAGTTTTGCCAGGAAGAGAGCCACTTACTAAAAATAAAAGCTACTTGCAAATGACAAAACTTAAATGATCCTCTTACCTTTGATATAATACAGCATAATATAGTTAACCTTAAAAGTCAGTTTATTAAAAGGACTAAAAGCACTTTGGAAATAATAATGTATAATTTATCCTTAAATAAAGTACTTTAAATATGAAAGTCCTAAGCAAGCAATGAAGAGGTTACTTTAGAAACTTAAAAAATTTATATAAAAGACTATTTCCCTATAAATAGGCATGGCATTCAAAATTAAATATACCTGCAGAAAGCCAGAAGGAAACAGAATGGGACAGTGGCACTGAGTGCCACCAGGTGTTTATCCCCTCAACATCACTACAGTCTGCAAATATCACCACTTTTGTGCTTCAGAAAATAATGAAGAAAAGTATAAGTGTTGGTGAAATAAGTTAATAACTATGGAAAAATTTAAGAAAAAATTTTAAGACAACAAATTAAAAATTCTGGGATATAGTTGAATTACTGCATTTGAAGGTTAAATTATCCATTCTGCAAGAACTAAAGCATAGAAACCAACACTTCCTATCATAGAGGAGCTTATGATGTTTTAGAAGATGCAAAAAGAAACACAAATGTGTTCTATAAATAAAACAGCAACTGTTGCCTTTATAAAGGTTGTACTGAGTTTTTCATAAATAACTCTTGTAATAGGTATCTTTTCGAAAGCAAAAATGTAAAGATTCAAATTGTTAGTAATACTATCATAAAATATTCATCTAGCGCTTGCTAATATTGTTTTTATTAAACAAAAATTACGTCTGACTCAAGTAAAAAAAAGATTATGGCACGTGCCCTCAAGGATACAGTATTAAATATTCCAAGAAGCACATACTGCATTCTATGAAACCTCTGCCTCTCCAAACTGACATCACCTCAGTCAGTCAGTCAGTCAGTCAGTCAGTCAGTCAGTCAGTCAGTCAGTCAGTCAAACAATCAATCAGGGACTCAATCAAAAAAAGTCATCTTCCTTGTAATTAAACTGGGAATAAAGGAAGAGGGGGTGGTCATGAGCAACTTTCTTTACCACATTCGTTCATAGGAGGCAATGTGCTGAACAAACATGGAAATCTGGACAAGGAGATATCCAAAACTAAAACTAAATGTCCAAAATTAAATGCATCCCCCAAATAAAGTTGCCAGGCAGGTGACACACCAGGCATTAGCTGGCATGGCCTTCCCTGGTTGTAGAATTTACCACCAATTAATCAACTATCACAGGAGCACCTCAAAGGTTCACATGGGAGGGTGCTAAGTGCTTAGTGACTAGAAATAAATAGGGCCTGGTCTCTGTTTCCTGTGTAGTACCTTAAATATATGAAGATGTAGATGTAGACATTTCTGGGTTTATGCCTGATTCACCAGATTACAATTGAAAGAAAGAAGAGAAAAGGAAGGAGGACAGGTACACAAATAATTTTCACAAGAAGTGGAATCTTGAAGTGCTGTGAGTTCCGTAGAACTTTGGAGAAGACACTGCTCATTACTGCTTTCAGTGTGAGCTTTCACTAGCATTCTATGAAACTTATTCTATTATAAAGTTATTTATGATACTTTATTTTGTTTTTCAGACTTCTTAAGTTTCTGAAATGCTTATAAATTTAATCTCAACAAAAGATGTATCTGACAAAAACAACTGAGATAAAACTGGTTGAACTGGTAGAAGCATCACTCAATAATGAATTCTCTTTGTCTCTCTCTGTCTCTCTGTCTCTGTCTGTTTCTCTGTCTCTCTGTCTCTCTCAATATTTTACAAATTCTTTTGCACACTGAATACTTTTTTCACAGCTCATGTAAGAATTCTTCATCAAAACACAGTTTGGAAAGTAAGGCCAGTACAGAAGCTCTGAACAAAAAATATAGTATTTTTTAAAAACTGTTGAATCATTGCAAATCATGTATGAACACATGTATTTTTATTTAGTAAATATAGTCATCTAAAACCTGTAGCTTGAACACTTAAAATGAAGATCAAATTTGCATGATAAATATTACATTACCTTAACTATATTCAGATTATTTTTAAAATAACTAAAACCACACCTAAATAAGGCAGTTATAACCAGTTGATGCAAATTTTAAGAAACTTAACTTGACATGACTTAGCTATGTTTTACCTGAGAATCATGGTTAAAATATACATCTGAAGCACCAGGAATGGATATGCAAAGCTTTCACGGAGAGGTGGCGTCCACATCACACGCGTAGCCTGAGATGAATGAAGTCTAGGTTCACATCAGGTCCATGACAGCAAACACCATTCACCCAACACAGAGGTTGGCTTCCCCTGGCTGGATCCTACTTCTGAAAGCAGGCAAAGCTTGGAGCTCCTTACGTGGGACCTCGGCATAGAAGGACCAACTTCCACGACCAAAACAAGAGCAAGTTCTATGAGGCCAAGCACAAGCAAGCCCCAGCAACCACCAAGAAGGCAGGGATGGGGACTGTGAGAACTCCTGGGCCAGATCCGCAGTCCAGCCTGACACATGACCCAGACATTCTGAGCCTGGAGCTGCAGACCTGCCACAGCAATACGCAAACAGGTGTCACCTGGGGCATTCCCAAACACCAAGAGTTTACACATCACAAGTCCAGGTGGCACAAGTAGTCAAGATCTGCTGTGAGTGTGTGTAATACATCAAAGAGTTAACTATAAAATTTAAAAACAACTGAAAGTAATGAGAATTACTGAGGGGAGGCTCATAATGTAAGTAATGTGATGCATGAATGTAAGTATTAAATATTCATATATACTTTAAGGCAATTTCTAAGACATACAGATCAGAGTATGAAAAAAGTTATGTATCAAAGATTCTCGCAAGGATTTAAAATCTTGTTACAGTACTCTGCAAGAGTCTTAAAAAGTAACTGCTATAAGAAACTCAAATTATAAACCTTGGAAGATGAATAACAATTGTATAAAAAGTTAACTCATACCACCAGTAGTCTAATATACTCAAATACAAACCTTTTAATTAATGTCAACAGATTGTTTAATCACAAGATATTTGTTCACTTTAGGTTGAAATAATAGATCGAAAGCATTTTGTGCAACATTTTGCCAAGTGAATCCATCATATTCTACGTAAATTTCTATGAGTTCCTTTTGGTGGACTAAAATCTCTACTTTTAATTCAACATAATTGTGTTACGACATAGAAAAAGTACAGTGTTTCCTTCATTCTACTGAACACATGTACATGTAAGCACTCACAAAGCTTGGGTAAGGTATTCCATATATTTTAAGTTCTAATGATTTAAAAATTTAGATCAACACAATTAAAATACCAACTTACAAGATAAAGTTCTACCAAATATTGCCAAGTCACAATTAATATACAACTATATATTGTTTTAATGATTATATTTCCTTGTTCTTATATAGTTTCTCTAGTTCTTAAAAATTATTTTCTAGAAAACAAACCTCTCCATGGTTGAAAAAGTAGCACAGTACTGTAATTAGTCCTCCTAATTGAGTCTCACTGTAAAAAAATATGAAATCACAAGTCATGTAAAATGAGGTGAGATTTTTCCAGAAATTATCTCAGATTTTAAAATCATTTTTCCATACTTAACCCAAGTAAAAATTTCAAAAGTACCCATGTAGCCACTATTTTAATCTTGAATGTACAAGCATACAAATTGTACATACAACATAATCTAATTTTATAATTTGTTATATTTAAAATATATTCTAAATAAAATGTATAATTAGTGAACATAAAATAATTTTTTAAAACAAGCATGGCGGGCAGGGGAGATGGCTCAGTAGGATAAGCGCTTGACTGGCAAACGCAAGGATATGAGTTCAATCCTCGGTTCCGCCCAAAAACGAAACAAAACAAAATGAAAACCAGGCATGGCAGTGCACACCTATAATCCCAGTGCTCTGGGAAGCCAAAGCGGGAGGATTGTAAATTTGAACCTAGTCTTGGTTCAATCCCCAGTATAAAAAACATATCACATTTTTTGAGTAATACAAATGGAGGCAGTTTTGTCTTTGGAAGCTGAATTTAAGTGACTGAGAGTAACTGCAACAGAAGTGGGTGACTGTGCATGTTCTTTTGCTGAGTCTGAAGGTAGCAGTCTGAGGGCAGCCAATAAGCATGGGAGAGTAATAGGCCTTTCACAGCTGCCTTCTTGTGGCTGTGTGTGGTCACCACAGCCAATCCCTAGATCCACACTGAATGGGTGAAGGAAGGAAGGGAGGAAAGGAGGGACAGAAGGGAGGGAGGCAGGGAAGGAGGGAAGGGTTAAAAAAATACAAGCAGAGGAAAATGACTGGGAAGTGGGTGACCATACACACTCTCTCTAAAGGAGATTCAAGAGATGCACTTCAAAAAAGAGGGAACTGAAAGAAGGAAGGCGTGAGAAACAAGGACTGGCAATCCCCAAAATGCTACTACTAATCCTGGCTGCTGGGAGGAGTCACAGGAGCATTGACCATGGTGCTAACTTGTGAGACAAGAAAGTATTCTATGATCGCATGTACTCATCAGAAGAATGGAAAAGATATGGATTCAATGTAGGTTTAATCAAGTTAAATGTGCATGTTAACATTTGATGGTTATTCACCCAAGGAACAGAAACAGAGTACCTACATTCCAAGGCAGTGCCCCAAATTCCTATTTGTTTTGTTTCTCAAATACTTCAGTTTCCCAGTCTCATTCATCACAGTTTTGGTGACATTTCTATAGTTCGTAATGGTTACTTCCACACACCCTTCTTAAAGATTGAAGGCTAGTAATGTACCTGATATTCCAAAACTGTGTAGCCAATTTAGAGAAGGCATGCATTCTTGGTAGCCTTCCTAGTGAGAAACACTGATTTAAGAGTTTTCGTCACAGCTGTGCAATAGTTTCCACATTAAAGAACAAATGTTTCTGTCATTTTACATGGTTTCTGAGATTTTATATGTAAATTATAAAATGTTTCCCTAAAAAAATGTGTGCAAACTATCCTCAAAATTAGAACGCTTAAGCCTAAAACTTATCCCAAAGCTATCCTTCCAAAGTTTTACAATATGGCATAGAGAAGTTTATAAACTCTTCTGTTTATAGGACTGTTACGAATTAAACATCCATCTAGCCACTAGATAAGTAACTGAGATAGAGAAATGATTACACTCTAAGTCCCTGAGACAGCCATAATCCTGACCCCGGGATTATTCATCTACAGGTCCAATACCGTTTATGAAGGCTGTCCTTACCTATCAGTCTGCAATATCTGCTCTGTCATACATCAAGGGTCTTTAAATGCACATTTCTGTGTCTGGCCTCTACTCCATTCCTGTGATCTACCTGCCTAGCATTTCATCTTATTTACATTAGCATTATGATACAGAACAAACTGAAAAGGAGAGTTTTATCTTTTTTTAAGGATGTTCTAATTATATCTGGCTCTTTGCATTTCTAAGTGAATGAGCTCACAGGGGTCAACAAAAATATAAGTGAATGTTGGTTGGTAGAGCATTGCATCTGTAAATCAATTTGGGATAACTGTCTCCTCCAACCCAGAAGCATGGTATCTCTCCATTTATTTTGATTTTCTTAAATGCATCTTAAACTCTTAGGAGTTTTCTTATGAAGGTAATAGCTATTTTTGTTAGGCTTATTCTTAGGAACTTCATGATTATAATGCTATTCTAAACAGTATCTTTTAAAAACTCTTTGAGGCTAGTGCATGGATTTTTTTATTCTAGTAATTAGAATTTATAACTTTGTGTATTAAATTTTTGTGTTTAGGTGTCATCATAAACTTTCTAATTGTTTCAAATACTGTATAATTGTTTTTGTTTTCTACATATACAATGATGTGAATTGATTTTGAAAACTTTACTTCTTTGTCAACTTTTGCACCTTATACTCTTTTTAGCCTACCATGCTGGGTAGGATAACTATTACAACATTAAATATGCCTCTAACTCTCATTAATGCTGTGCCCATATTTTCATGCCTGAAACTCCCTAAAACAAGAGTCTATATTGATAGGTCCGACCCCATTTGTTTGCAGCTGCCCAAGTTCCTAGAGCAAGTGTCTGAGCTCTGAGAACAACCCAATTGTCCCCACATCCTGTAATGACCCCGGTTGCCCTGCTGGGACATGGTTCACCCGCTCCATCTGCCTGGCCACAGCACACCCAGAACAGCACAGTAGCTGCTGCTATGGTCAGGTCCCCAGCTATGCTCGCTCCCCCAATCTTATGCCTGCCTTCACCCCACCTCACCCATACCTAGCCCATTAAGCCCAATTATCCATAAAAGACTTAGATCAATGAACTTGCCTCAGACTCCTTTAGAGTTACTCCAGAAGGTCCTGCTCAAAGCCTTAGATTCAGGCTAGCTGTGCTTTTTACTGGGTTGTCACCATTTACCTATCATATATAATCTCTATATTGACATAAATTCTATGAAAATTCAATAAATATTTGTTGAATGATTAAATCTAGATTTCTAACTTTAAATGTTTTGAATTTCATGATAATATTGTAAAGAAGGTGCACGACTTAATTAGGAATTTATTTCACTGAAGGAAATAAAAAATCTAACAGGACTGGTGGAAATGGTTTGGAGATTTATTGTACCATTCAACAGAAAAATAAAAGGTAAGTGTCTGTTGTAATAGTTTAGTAGCATGGTAGGCCAGATATGTCTGCTATTTTATAGACTTTCCTCATGGCCACAGGCTGACTGCTGTGGCTCCGGGAGTCACATCAAAGTAAAAGCTGGAAGGACTAGAGAAGGAACAGCTGAAATGTGAGAAAGGCAAATGCTTTCTGAGGTCCCTTACTTGTCACTGGCAAAAAACTAATTAATATGGCTCTTCCAAGGAGCAGTGAAAACTGGGAGCAAAACACATGACTGTCAAAATCAACTTCAGCCTATCGCCTAGACTGGACGCACTGCTCCTCCGAACAAAGTTGTGGTGCCGTTAGCAAGAAAGGCAGGCTAGCAATGCAAGTGTCTGCTGTACGGGACATACAGTTCTTTTACAGTTTTCTTAATCTCACATAACTAATGCTAACCAGAGATCCCACTAATGCAATAACTTTACACAGGAAGAGAGGTCTCTTCATTAAAACCTGGGCAGAGAAATCTTAATTTAAAAAAACATTGCCCTAAGAATAAAACAGAGGCCTAATTTAAAGTGCTTTTAGTGACAGTTCCCACATTGGTCAAGCATCTGAAAAAATCAAGTAAATGCATAAATTTTCCTATGCTTAATCAATAAATCCCATTCAATCTCTTTTAAATGTCATCAACAGCTATCAGTCATTGCTTATAAACTCAATCACATCTCACCTCAGATATGCAGCGTAGACAAAGAGCAATCCCATCATCAGTCCATTTAAGATAAAAATCACACCCACATAAAAGTAAGCAGGGTCTCCCAATCCTTTGAAAAGACAGAGGTTATTCAGCATTTAGTGAACAAATGGCTGTAAAGCAAGAGGCATAGTTATCTCAGTGATTTTTGCCCAGGAATTTGCTGAACGCATGTGCTTTCAGACTGATGCTCTGTTTCATAGTTTCACTGATGTTTATATATCTGTAAGGTGAGTACGTGTGTGTGAGGGGGTGGTGGTTATGGATCAAACCCTGAGCCCCGTTCATTCTAGGCAAGGGCTCTCCATGAAGCTACATCTCCAGCCCCTATAGTGCATTGTCTGGTTATGTTTATAAGTTCCTCTGTTTTTACACTGAGATAATTGTCAGGGTTTCTTATTAGTAAGGATGCTGCTGCCATTGCTCAGTGTCTGGGACTATCTGTAGAGCCTTTTGAGGCTCTCCAAGAGAAAGCCATTACATTATCTTTACCTTTTCTAAGCTCCAGGATAAGTAAGATAAAGTCTCTTACCTCAAGGAGCAGCGTTAGTCTCCTTGAGATGATCCAGGTATATGGTCCATTATTATCAAGAGCTACAATCTTAATACATCCCACATACATATAGTAAAGGCCCAGATGCACAAACGTTCAAGTTGTGAACTTTCAAAGACAATGAAAGAACTTGCCTTTGGTTTTTTTTATGTGTTACATTGAATACTCATGTCAAAGGTATGTAAGACTCACTTTATTGGACTTACAAAGGAATCTGACTTACAAGGGTTCTCACGGCTGGGGATGTAGCTCAGTGGCACAAGTGCCTGCCTGGCAAGTGCAAAGTCCTGAGTTTGATTCCCCCATACAACAAAACAAGTGTTCTCCCAGAATGGAATTCATTCTTAAACTGGTGATTTAACTGTGTAAGATTGTGTGTGGAGTGCTTTTTGTTTCTTTTATAATCATCGTTTCACCATAATTCTCAGACAAAATTGATTCAATTAATTGGCATGAAAGTATCTTTTTCCTCAGAAAACAAATCATAGAGAACTTAAGTAACTTGCCAAAAGTTTCTTGTATTTGACTGGCTGAGGCCAAGACCTGAAGGCTGACCTCTGTCACCCCTTGTACCTCCTGGGCCACTCCTTGCAGTCTGTCCTGTAACTTCTCCTGTTTATGAACCCTTCCTTCAACACTAGACCTCCTTAGCGTCTGTCACCTGCTTTCCTCTCTTCTCAATCTACATAGTCTCCTTAAGAAAAATCTTCCACTTCCAAGTATCATCTACATAGTGATGAGTCCAAGTCTATACTCGCTCCAAACACTCTTCTTCCTAAAGTTATCTATCCAGGTAGCATCATGACATCTCTCTCTAGGACCTCAAGCTAATACAGTGAATCGCAGCAGTTCATATCTGTACTTGTTATGTTTTCTACTGTTCAAGGGACTTAATTATTCAAGGTTGAAACCAAGTAGAGTTATGGGAGTCTTCACTCTCCTCCTCCCTCCCATCAGATACCGAGACTTGTTGATTCTACTTCCAGGGTCCCTCCCAAGACCTGGCACCTCACAGATGTCTTCTATAGCAGTTGTGTGCTCAGAGCACAGCAATCTCTGGCCTCATGGGGCCCAATGGTAATCTGTCCATACAACTAGCAAAATGATGCTCAAGGTAAGAATCTGTTAAAGCTCCTCAGTGAATAAAGTACAAAAGCCTTCCCCACCTAATGGCCCACCATGATGAGATCCTGTCTCGTACTCCCAGGATGATAGCTCACCATTTCCCTGCCTTCCCTCTGTTCCAAAAAATCCAGGCTTCTCTCAGGTCCCCTTTGATGAAGGACCTCTCAATATGCTGCTTCCTACTCCACAAATATTTCTGTTTTCCGCAACCCTATTTTCCTACTTGCTCTATCCATCATAGTTATGCCTGCCAAGAGCCCTCTCAGTACAGGCTCCATGAGGATAAGGGCCATGCTCACTGGCCATTGCTGCATTCTAAGTGCCAAAATCTAACCTGTCACTTACTGAGAACTTAGGAAGTACCATATATTTCCCCATACAAAGTGATGGTTTGGGGGCTGGCAAGATAGCTCAGTGGTCTAAAGCACATGCTAAGGCAAGCTTAGGTAGGCTTAGGTAAGTGCAAGGACTACACAGATTGGACTTATAGTGATCCTCCTGTTTTTCAGCCTCCCAAGTGCTGGGATTACAGGGCCACCATGTCCAGTCTCATTCACCGTCTCAACACGCCCTTGGAGCGGGACCGGCATGGCAGTGTAAATAGTGTAAATAGTCATGTTGTGAAGAGTAGAAGAAATAAAGCAACACCTGTGAAGTGCTATGCAGGTAGGCACGTGTGACTCTGCACAGGAGTCCCAAGGGACAGCGTCCTCCCTGGGTTGTCAAAGAGCTAAACTGCACACATCGTAAGCAGCAGTGACCACTAATTGGAGAACTGTTACAGAACTCCCAAAGTAGTTTTCTGACAAAGCCACCAATGTAGAAGATACATAGAAAGAGCCTGGCTAAAATTATCCACTGGACGGTAAGTGTGTAATAAAGCAATGTTGTCACTACAACCTGAATTTGATTTTTAAATGTGTGTGCTACTTCATTTAATGGTTCTTTTTTTTTTCCCCCTGCGGAGCCAGGGATTGAACTCAGGCCCTTGCGCTTGCCAGGCAAGCACTTATTCAACTGAGCTATTTCCCAGACCTGCTACTTCATTAATACGTTATTACAAGTATGTATTTGACTAATTGATCCCCAAAGTTTATATACGGAAGCAATCCAAAAAATACTCTTATTTATGTTACTTCATTCTGATATGGGAGACTTTTACTCAAGCTTGCCTGATACTAAGCTAAGTTAGTAGGGAAATTAAATTCTACATTGATATTCAAATTAGAAGCTACAGAGTTTTCTCAGAAATCTGAAGCACAAAATAACCTTTGAGATGAATAATGTCTAGTGTTGTTTAAAGGAAAATGTGAGCCACGGCTGTTCGCATACATTGATTCTTGTGTTTACGAAAGCCTTAAGGACAGCACAGTAGGGCTGGAGGGAGACACAGACCTTCACAGCTCTCGACTTGACTAGGAAATCCCACTCTGGTGACGTTCCAGCAGGCCTTAGTTTCTACCCCAAATAAATTCATTATTCCTGTGAATGTGCGATACCAGTAAGCCAGGACCACCTACAAAAGAGATAATGGAAGAAAATATAGTGTCTTTATAATAGTTTTTCCAAAATATTATTTTATGATAGTCACTTTTGACATTATAAACTTTGGCAAATTTATTTAAATCACCTCACTTGGGGAATAATCGTTTAAAATTATATATATATATATATATATAGCCAGGCACGGAGGCACACACTAGTAATCCCAGCACCCTGAAGATGACTTTGACCCCTACTTGGGGCACTCAGTGATCTAGCAAGATCCTATTTCAAACTAAGCAATTAAAAAGAGCTGGGATGAACTCTGGGTTCAATCTTTAGGTTTGAAAAAAAAAAGACTTCATAAAAGCATATAATTAAGCTATGATATCAACACAAAATTACAAATATTTGTAGAAACATTTGATAACACCAGTCAGATCTTAGAATTTATTTTTTTATTAAAATATACTATTTTAAAAACTGGAATGAAATGGAAGAATAGTTCCTGTGTCCATGCAAAGACCAAGCAGAATATTTAATTAATCAATTCTTCCCAATCTGCAGTCCATTTCTAAAGGAATATAAACAAGGGGGAAACAAACAACAACAACAAAATTACTAATTAAATGCTTTTATCTGAGAGATTTAAAAAAATAACTTTATAGAATTTTTATAGTAATGTGAGATCACTGGGGAAAAACATAAAACATAAAGAGTTGTAAAAGAAAGTGTGAACCACCCAGAGGTAAAACCTTTAATATTTGCCACCAGGCATGGTGGCGTACACCTGTAGTCTTACCACTTAGGGGGCTGAGGCTGAGAGTTGCCACCTATTTGAGGCCAGCCTACATAGGGAGTTCAAGACCAGTCTGAATTACAGAGGAGAAAGGTGAAAAAATGTTACCACGATGGGGCACATGGGAACTTTTTGGCATTATGAAAATGCTTTGTAATTAGACTGTTGTGCTCAGTATGTACTGCCACACACTTTCCAAAATTCAAGAAGTGCACACTCAAAATAAGTATGTTTTTGTTGTTGTTGTTGCTGTTGTTTTTGTCAGTTCAGCCCACCTGGGGGGTGGGGCTGGCGTGGCATGTGGTTCCGGGGTTTGAACCATGGTCCCTGCACACTTGCCTAAGCTTGCCTAAGCAGGCACTTTAGACCACTGAACTATCTTGCCAGCCCATGAGTGTGTTTTATTGCATGTAGGTTACATCTTAAGAAAGCTGAATGAATAAAAATAAAGTGGTGAGAGTAAAAAGACATAATCAACACAGATTACTAAAGATAAGTACACAAAATCCAACTATGCTAACAAATAAATAGGAAAACTACTACTGAATAAGATGACAAAGATTTATATAGGTGATAGGTAGGAATTGCTGCACAATTAATGAAAGAAGTACAAACAGAACCCACACCCCGGCCACTGTCTTATGATTTCAGAGCTAATAAGGATATGAGAAAGGTGAACTCTCCTACACAGTAGTGTGGTTGCTGGAGGCACCAATTCCCAAACATCTGGCAAGGCTGACAGGCTCACTGCTCCACACCACAGCTACACCTCTGGTTACTCGGCTAAAAGAAAACCCTGCCAGACACAGGAGGAAGCACCCACAGGAGCCTGAACCATTGGTAGTAGGAAGATTAGAAATAACTTGGTATCTACAAACAGGGAAATGTAAAATTGGGAATGAATTCAAGTTAAAATTAAATGATTGAATATTCATATATACAGGGTTCAAAAATATAATGCTGAGGAAAATGTAGTGGTGTATTTAGTAAGAGAGCACATATGTAGACTTGGAACACATAAAGCCATACTTGAAATGGATCAGATTGGGGGCTGGAGAGATGGCTCAGTGGTCTAAAGCACCTACTTAGAACAAGCTTAGCAGAGCATCAGGGACCGCGGTTCAATCCCCCAGCACCACATGCCAGCCAGCCCCGCCCCCTGGTGGGCTGAGCTGGCCAC